CACAACATTTGGCAGTTCAGCATTTCATTCTGCTTTTGCATATGTCCTGTTTTCCAAGGTCATTACTTTATGAATTAGTTAAATCCTTTTGCTTTTAGTGAGAGAATTGCCAAGCCCATCTCATTGGAATAAGACGTAAGGCTTATGAAGGTTCAGATCATATGGTGTCATTCGGTCAAAATAATGATAAAAACAGAAGCCCTTATTACAATAAACAGATCTCATCGGCAGAAGAAGTATAAACTGAAACTCAACTGGTAAAGTTGTTAACTCAGAGCTGTTGTGACTATCAGCTACCATGAGTTCAATACCTGTCACGATATTTAGATTCTATCTACAGGAGATATCAGAGAAGCTAACAGAACAGCTAACATTTTTAAAACCATATGTAAAAAGTGGTCATGAGGAGCAGAACATCATATGCAGGAAAACAGGGAATGTTGAGACTGTGTCCTATGCTGAGACTATGTCCTTGAGTTTCCCTGTTCTCTCGGGTGTGGAATCTAGGCAGCCAGAAGACAGCAGATTCTGATTTCTGACCTGGGTCAAAAAAAAAAACGCTCCACTGAATTTTACTTTATAAACTAGGTCTTGGCCTCAGGGTGGGTGGTGAGTGAAGTCTTGAGTGTGTCACACGTAGGACTGGCTGGCTCTTGCTCACATAGTGTTACCTACTGCCCTCTTGTTCCAGCTCAGTGATTGCCTTATGTTCGTGTTTTTCTTGCTGCAGATGGGCAGAAGAAAGTTCAAGAAGAGTTTGACATCGACATGGACGCGCCAGAGACAGAACGTGCGGCAGTGGCCATTCAGTCTCAGTTCAGAAAATTTCAGAAGAAGAAGGCTGGGTCCCAGTCCTAGTGGGAGAGCCCCTTCATAGTGCACCACAAAACACTGAGTACAACCGTCACCTGTCAAGAAACGAAAAGAACAACACCCTAGAGAGAAATGATCCGCACCCAACACACACACACACACACAGAGCAAACTTAAAATGCATGTACAGAAACCCCTGATATTTATACCCTTGTGGGAAGGTGTAAAACAGTGAAATTGTGAGTGGTGGGAAGGTGTAAAACGGTGAAATTGTGAGTGGTTTCATCTCTGTGTTGATCTCCAGTACCATTCCTCCTGCAACTATTTCCCCTGATGTTGTAATAAAATGGAGTTAAGAAGAATAATTAAAAGTGTCTGTCTTTCTCTCTCTCTTTGTATTAATCTAGGAAGTTACTTATTACTACAGATAAGTGCAAACCAGATCCTATTTCCTTCTTCTCTTAAACATTGGAAGCCCTGGTGGTGCAGTGGTTAAGAGCTTGGCTACTAACCAAAAGGTCAAGAGTTCAAAACCACCAGCTGCTCCTTGGAAACCCCATGGGGCAGTTCTACTCTGTCCTATAGGGTCACTATGGCATATTTTGGAATTGACTTGATGGCAACGGGTTCTTAAACGTTGGAGACGTAACACAATGACTTCTGTTATGCGCATTACTGCCGAAAATGAGAGATTGAGTCTCAGCTGCACCTGTCTCATTTGGAGAATAGTAACTGCCAGCTAGCAATGGCAATACGTTTTCTTCTTATGATGGGTATAAGAGATCTCATTTCCCTCTCTATCCTGGGGTGCCATCGATTCAGAAGTTTCACTGGAGAAATTATGACTCATGTGGGAGAACAAAAACGGGGAGGGTGATGCATCTGCTTGGGGAATGTGCCACCAGATTTACCCAGCAGACATACATTTCAGAAACCCGAAGGGGGCACCCCACCATGAGGCCCATGTGCTGCGTACCTGCAGTTTCTCTGCAACCGAGGGGATGCAGGCGTGAGACACGTTCTCCTGGTTCCTCCACCCCCTCCAGACTTTTCTGTGCTCCTTACACTGAGATCTGCTACCTGCTATGAAAATTTACCATTACACACAATCTGGAGTTGTTGTCTGGCTTCTCTCTCACCCTGCCTCCACCCACTGCAGACCTCATAAGTAAATTGCTTCACACACCCCAAACAGGTTCTGTAGGCAGCGAGGAGAGATTCATCACATGGAGAGGACCTCTCCACTGAAGAGCTATTGGGTTTTTCCAGTTGGTTGGGTATGTTCCAGGAGCCCTGGCAGTGCAGTGGTTAAGCGCTTGGCTGCTAGCTGAAAGGTTGGCAGTTTGAACCCACCAGCCGCTCCACGGGAGAAAGATGTGGCAGTCTGCTTCCATAAAGATTTACAGCCTTGGAAACACTTTAGGGCAGTTCTGCTCCGTCCAGAAGTGTCATCGTAAGTTGAAACTGACTCGTTTCAACTCGAGGCAACAGGTTTGGTTTTTTTGTTTAAGTACGTTCCTGCCTTCAGGCCGAAGGTGGCAGTAACACCCAGTCCCCCTGTCACCTGTGGCCACACGAGAGCCTGATGTGGAAGTCATGTCTATTCTTCAGAACCCCAGGATGGCTTCATGTCAGCACAATGCACCACTGTGAGGTATCTGTATTTCTTTGCTTTGCACATGAGGTTGCCCTGAGTCAAAATCGTTGGCAACTGGTAGTGACAGTTGCTTTGACAGCTCCTTAGCCCAGGGCCAGGGGAAGGCTAAATATGGTGGTCACCATAGTGGAGAAAGGCAGATGGTGGTGTGTGTGTGCATGTGTGCACGTGTGTGTGTCTGAGTGTGCAAGGGTAAATTAGGGTGGAAGCAAGGAGAGGGCCAGCACATGACTGGCAGATGGGGGAGATGCTGCTCCTCTGGCCAGGCCCCATTTGGTGTCATCATGGTCCAGATGGAGGATTGCCTGTCTCAAAAAAAATCCGTCTGAAAATGCATTTATTGCCTTGTGGAAGGAAATCCCTCCTGCTGGACAATTTCTCAGAAACCCTGGTGGCTTAGTCATTAAGAGTTACTGCTGCTAACCAAACAGTCAGCAGTTCGAATCCACCAGACGCTCTTTGGAAACTCTACGGGGCAATTGTATTCTGTCCTATAGGGTGGCTATGGGTCAGAATCGATGACAAATGGTTTTCGGGACAATTTCTTGAGGTCGGGAACAGGGAATCTTGTGGCTTCCTCGAATTGATCTCCACTCCGATGAGAATTAACAAGATTGCTTCAGCACTACTGGCCAGACCAGGCTCAGTGGGGGGCTCCGGATGGCTGGATGGCCTCCCCTCTCCACCGCAAAGAGGGCAGGAGTTTCAAGCGACACTTAAGGAAAATTTTCCCGCGATGTGGGAGTGGGGATGGGCACTAAAAGCCCAGAGAAGAGAAAGATTGTGTAGCGTTCTCCTTCGGAATTCCCTAAGCTACCAATGTAAGCAAGTTAGGAAAAATACGAGTGATTCCATAATTCAAATCAATTCCCTTCCCATCCCATACTTCCAGCACCACCATTGTCCCCTCAATGCTCTGGATATTTCATATAAGGGAAGTGGGGGCCTCCTCCTGCTGGGGGAGGCATGGCCCTGATGGTCTTTCCGGCTCTGCTCCAAGTATTGACATCTAGAAGCAAATCTAGTTTTACAGTGAAAAGGCACCACCTAGAAGGCGCTCTCCACATAGAGGAGAAAATCCTGGCGTGTGGATCTCAACTCTTTTTTCCTTCCTCCATATGCCGAGGGACAGGGCATGCTCCCTCAGTCACAATGTCTTATTGAAAGTAGAGGGGTGGACATGGAGATGGGTGGGGGCTGGGAAGCTTAGGGAGGCCCTTTAATGACTCTGATACGCCACCCTCATCCCAATCAGGGGACAAGGTTATAGCTGCAGTATTCATCCCAGAGAAGAGGAAAGGGCTTCCCCAGTCTGCGCCCCAGCAGAGCTGCACAGGGTGTCCAGCAATTTGGAAGCATCCTTACTTTCATCTCATTCCACACATATTTATTGACTCCCTACTCAGTGCTGCCCTGGTGGCACAGTGGTTAAGAGGTATAGCTGCAAACCAAAAGATTGGCAGTTCAAATCCACCAGCTGATCCTTGGAAACTCTATTCCTACTCTGTCCTATATGGTCGCTATGAGTTGGAATCAACTTGATAGGAATGACTTTGTTTGTTTTTACTGAGCCCTGGATTCCATGCTTGGTGCCTGTGGCCACCAAGGAGGGAAGTTCTTCCTTCTAAGAGGCTGGCAGGCTGGTGAGGAAAAGCCCCAGGTAAAAAGACAGCTGGAATGGGGAGGCTCGTGCAGAGAGGGGTAGAGGGTCATGCTGTGGCAGAACAGAGGGGGTACTGCTCCTCCAGGCTTGAGAACCATGAAAGTCTGCCACTCTCAGCAGAGATCTGAAAGATGACTGGAGTTACTAGGAAAAGGGATGGTGATTGATGGAGAAATGTTCCGGGCAAGGGCCTAGAGAAGAGGTGCTCAACGTTGCAGGCCCAGAGGTTCAATTATTAGCAGACCTGAAGATGTGGCTCTGTTATCCAAACTTGGAGAGGCCAGCAGGCAGTGTTGCAAGCACTGGAGACTTGGAACAGGACTCATTGCTGAATTACAAGTTGACCAAGTGACCACAGATAAGTTATCTACCTCAAGCAGCCAGTTTCCCTCATGTTGTTGTCTTAGTCATCTAGTGCTGCTATAACAGAAATACCACACGTGGATGGCTTTGACAAAGGGAAGTTTATTCTCTCACAATCCAGTAGGCTACAAGTCCAAATTCAGGGCATCAGCTCCAGGAGAAGGCTTTCTGTCTCTGTAGGCTCTGGAGGAAGGTCCTTGTAATGCATCGGTCTTGCCTTGGTCTGGGAGCATCTCAGAGCAGGAACCTCAGGTCCAATGGACACACTCTGCTCCTGGCACTGCTTGTGGTGTGAGGTTTCCATGTGTCTTTGCTCACTTCTCTCTTGTATAGCTCAAAAGAGATTGGTTTAAGACACTATGCAATCTTGTAAACCTCATCAGTATAACTGCCACTAATCTGTCTTATTAGATCATAGTGATTGAATTTGCAACACATAAGGAAATCGCATCAGATTACAAAATGTTATACAAGTTGACAGATATTTTTGGGAGACACAATTCAATCCATGACAATTGTTATTGTTGTTAGGTGCCATTGAGTTGATTTCAACTCATAGTGACCCCATGTGCATGAGAGTAGAACTGCTCCATAGGGTTTTCGATGGCTGATTTTTCAGAAGTAGATCTCCAGACCTTTCTTCTGAGGTACCTCTGGTGGACTGGAACCTCCAACCTTTCAGTTAGTAGCCGCACACATTAATCTTGCCCTACCTAGGGAATCCCTTATAACATTAAAGTAATGGTAAAATCTATTTGGCAAGGTAGTTGGGAAAATGTTAGGAAGATAAAATAAATGAATACCTGACTCAGTGTAAAGGGTTGCCCTGGTGGTGCAAATGGTTACGTGCTTGATTACTAACCAAAAGGTTGATGGTTCAAATCCACCTAGAAGCACCTCAGAAGAAAGGTCTGGCAATCAACTTGTGAATGATCAGCCACTGAAAACCCTGTGGAACGCAGTTCTACTCTGAAACACATGGGGTAACCATGAGTTGGAATCAACTCAATGACAACTGGTTTTTGGGTTTTTTTTTGACTCAATATTGGTATGTAATAAATGGAAGTTCTTATTATTGATAAACCAGTGTTGTAAGAGTCAATCATTGCCTCCCTTACCCCTTTTCCTGACTCAACCCACACTGTGGGACTCTGCTCCCCTTGGACCAGTGATGGACACCTGAGCCAAGAGATGGGCTCAACTAATCAGATTCTTTCTCTTGTCAGTTTGAACAAAGAGACATGGACGCCAAGTCACGGGAAGGAGTTGTGGAACTGGGGCCAACGCTTGCACTCTGCAGGTAAAAGTTAGATGCAAGCTGAAGTTACACAGGCTCCAAGAAGCCATAAAGAAGCTGCTAGA